CTCAGCCCTGTATCTCGCGTGCCCCTCCTCTAATTTATCTTCTTTCTGGCTGATTGATTAGTAATGCCTTTTTTTGTTTGTTTGTGACTGAGACTTAATTAGATTTCACAGGTTAGAGGTCTACATACTGAAAGTTCAAGATTATTGTTATTATTTTAATTAGATTGTGCCATTAAAGCGGGTTATTGTGAGACATTTCGGAGAAGGGAAGGGCAGCACTGTGGCTCCAGCGGCAGTCATTAAGTCTGTGATGGAGTTCCACACGTGTTCAAGAGCCCTGGATGTGTGTGGTTATAGCCTAACAACGTCAGAAATGAAAAGAGCTTCTGGGAGACAAAAAAAAGTGGTGCGTACGTGGACATTTTTACTGTGCAATGGATCCACCTGTTGACTCGAAGAGAATTCTTGTCAATAAAATAATACTAAAAATCTCAGAAGGCTACACATTCGCAGATGACATGCTCTTAAGCGCAGTGAGCCTTGAGAGCTTTTTGTTGAATGCAATTAGAAACGGCCTTCTGTCTAAAGGCCTGTTCACATCAAGGACGATAACTATAAAGATATAGTTCTGATTAATCGTTCTAAATATAAAGGAAGATAGAGTCCACACCACAACTATAACGATAATCACACAATGAAACGATATTGTTGCAATCACCTTTTCAGCTGATGAATGATCAAATTGACAGCCAATCATAATCCATCCTGCTTTAAAGAGCTCAAGCATTTAAAGCATCTGACAACAAAATTCAGTGTGCGCTATATGTGAAAAAGCCTAAATTAAATCTGTTCATCATAAAAAGTGATCGTGTCTCTTCAGAAGATTTGGACTAAACAGCTCAATTCATATGGATTCATTTTATGATCTCTTTATGAACTTTTTGAAGCGTCAAAGTGGTAGTTGCGTAGCTGTCAATGGAGGGACAGAAATCTCTCAGATTTCATCAAAAAGATCTTCATTTGTGTTCAGAAGATGAACGAAAGTCTTACGATTTGGAACAACATGAGGGTGAGTAATTAATGACTAACCCTTTAAAGGGGTCATATAATGGTACATGCACTTTTACAAGTTGATTGTACTGAAATGTGTGTTGGCAGTGCCTGTACACAACCATCATAAAATGATAAAAATCTATCCAGTGTTTTTGTTTTAATCTCCTTATATGTTTTCCCCTGCTTCAAATCAAGCCGTTCGACCGTGTGACGTCACACGCTCGGAAGCCCCTCCCACAATTGTTGATCCGCGCGGACCGGCGCGCTCATTGTTGATATGCTGGAGCTGTCTATGAGCAGAATGGCGTCTAAGTGATTGTGGTGTTCTGTTCTTGGGTGTAATAACGAACACAGCAGTCATTTTAATGTTCCTAAATCCGAACCGCTGAAGACGCAGTGGCTGAGTTTGTTTTGGAAGGGAATATTCCCCACGAGCAACGTCAATGCTCTCATGTTTGCGTGAATCATTTCACACCAGACTGCTTTATAAACGAGGATCAGTATTAAGCTGGTTTTGCTAAGAAGCTGCTCATGAAGAAAGGATCGGTACCAGCTATTCGTGTTCCTGCTGAATCTCCAGAACAACTGAAGTGAGTGTAACGTTTTATTCAACTTTATATTAATATTTATATTAATCTTTGCAAATCGCTAGCTGCACGCTTCACAATGAATGCGTCTAAGGTTTACACTCAGGGTACATTACGGCATGTTTTCTATGTATGATGTTCTCAATATAATTCATAATCCCACGTTTATACTGAACAACGCGTTATGGTTATTGTGTTATTGTGTTACAAACGGTGTACGCACAGAACAGAGAGGCGGGGTGAGCAAAGCACATTATCATTTAAAGTCATATGCACTGAAACGGCGTGCTGAAAACAGAGCTGTTTTTGACCAAGTAAAATAAGTGTTTTCTTACAATACTAATGAGAATTTGTAATTAAAGTATATTACAAACTTTTAATTTAGACCCTAAAGAATCATATTAGCTTGTACAAAAATGGCATTATATGACCCCTTTAACATCACATCCTCACCAAAGAGGTTTATAATACCTGGTGAAATGACATTGCCATTCATATCAATGCCAGTTTCAAGTCACATCATGAGTTTTGAGCCATAAATGTCCGGAAAATTGCATCATGACAACTTTGAATGGCTGAACGCACCGAAAGAACGGTCACAGTTCCAAACCCTTCACTAGCAAAAATCCAGAGCGGTGACGTCAACAGCGGCATATAGGGAAAAATATAAATCCATTTAACTCTATTCCATTTATTCGCCTTCCTCAAAGACCCATTAAAAGCCTTCTTGAAATCATGCAGATCTTTCTAATGGAGACCCGGAGAGGAAGTTGAACCTTCTAAAGGCATTTTAATAGATGAATTAAAAGACAAAGTAGTGTCCAGCTGCTTGGCCCCTAAAAAAGAAGTGCCTTATAATGAATAGCCATTATTATGACATGTACAAGTCGCTAATGAGAGCGATCATGACGGCGCAGTTGTTGGATTGGACACCTGGTAGTTATTGAACAGCAGTCACATTTAAAATGCATTTAGAAGCCTGATTACAACCATATGAAATAAGGTGTAATAGTCCTCGTCAGAATTCACGGCGTCTCAAACAGTGTGTCGAAAAAAAGAAAAGAAAAAAAGCGAATATCGTAAAAGCGATAACAACTATTGCACCCATCTGGGGGGTAATAAATAAATAAATGTGTGCTTTGCAACTGTGCATCAGCCAGCAACGAGAGAGACTCGGCTGTGTGCGGATTTAATTAGAAAGCAAAGCTTTTTGACAGTAAATTGATTTTTAATTGTCTTCTTCTGCATTCACTCCAGGTGGCTCAAGTCTTCTCTATTTGATGTTTTGTGTGCTTTATGTGAAGGTTTTTTCCCTCCTGCCAAAACACAGTTTATTATGGCACACTGCAGATTAGCAAGCGGTTCTCCCAAATCAAGCCTATTCTACATCTGAGGGACATCCAGTGGGGTTTTAACAGAACTGTCGATATTCTCTGTGGCACGGTCCCGCAAATGCACTCAGAAACAACAGCAATAGGTTTTTTTTTTTTTTTTTTTTAAAACATGGTCTGGTTGACATTGCTAATGGGCCCAACAGGAAGGAAATGTAATTTGAAAGGAGCTGATCTATGTACGCCATTGTTGTGGGGTAATGCTGATGTAATTATTATCTGCCGTTGATGGAGGAAGGATTTGGGACCATGCCACAAATCAGCGCAGGATGCCAGGATGTCGTTCATTCACACACAGTAACACAAAACACCATACATATATGGTTATGAACGTTCTGCTAGGTAAACATCTCTGTGCTGTATATCTGAATCATACAGCTAAAAAAAAAAAAAGCCATGACTAAGTCCGAATGGGTGTGGTCTGCACTGAATCTGATCTAATGGGCTTATATCTGTAGTTTTGAATCATGTTATGTAACACATTCCCTATATTCTGCCTTACAAATGACTTTCCAACGGGCTATTTATCATTTACATGAAAAACTGTTTTAATTAACAGCTTGCATTGAATATGCTCGCTGCAGTGGCTAAATAAAGATTGTTTCACAGCAACTCATGCATCATACGGTGTTATAGTGTGACACAGTTATGAAAGCCTTTGATCGTCACACATCAAAATGATAAAAAAGGGTCCTAGCTTCAGCTTTAAATCAGTTATGAAACAAATGATATAAAATGACAGTACACTAATGTGATCGGGGTGGGGTTGACCTTTTCTGTGCTTAGCTGTACAGCTGTCTGGTCCAGTCATGAGTATGGGCTGCCCTTTCTAAAGACGTTCTAATACTTTATTATGTTTTATAATGCAATCTATACAACTTCAGGGAGTTCTTATGCGGAAGGGCGTCAGCTATGAAAAACAGTTTGATTTTTTTCCTGATGCGTGGTATAGGACCGCTCTTGATTTAGTTTCGTACCAAATTAATGTAATACGTAAAGGGAGTTAAAATAATATAAAAAGCAATATCTAGTACCCTTTTCACTAATAAACTCAATTCAGGAACGTAAAGCATTATAATTTATGATAATATAATGGATAAAGTCCAAAATCAAAGAAATATGATCAAGTCCTACATTCATTATATCCAAGGGGATGGTCTTTATTTGATTAAATAACTGACAACTAATGAGGAATTCTGTGGCAGAATATTTTATATTAATGACAAGAGCGGTCTCATGATAAGTACTTAAATTCGATATAGCCTGACTGGCATGTCCCTAATTAGATATCTCCTAATAAGTCTCTTATTAGATATGCCCGATTTTGTCCTATAATACAGTCTCACACAGCAAAATACTTGAGTGTTTGCATAGCTATATAGATTTGTAATTGCCACTGTCATCTGAAGTCTCAATTATGAGCTTTGCCACATTGTAAAAGCCTTTAAATTGAGCAACAGTGGCATCTGTTGGTTGTAAAAGGACACAGCAGGAATTCAGTGCCAGTTTTAATAAGTTTTACATCAAGTTTACAGGTTTTTTAAGTGTTAGACAAACCCCAAACTGACACAAAAGATTGAAAATAATGAATTCATATTTAAAGACGCTTGCTGTCTCATGTCTGATGTACATCAATATTATAACATGAATATTTTTTTATTTAAATATGTTTACTATAGCCTACACGCATTGTATATTTTGTAGTAGCCTATATACAATGAAAAAAGTATTTACTGTAAAGGAGATAGACCTAAATGTCAGTTTACACAATTAGTAACTTTAGGTTACGAACTGTCTTAAACCCATGATAATAGAGTTTCATACCTAAAGACTAAAGTGCATTATGAATTATGCAAACCACATGTATAAGCCTGCATTTTAAACTTTAAATACAACCATCTCGTGTAAATCACTATTATTTCAAGGTTTAGCACTGACTAACCTTTAAAGGCAGGAGCTGTTGGCTAAAAAACAACCAAAACATCACATCAAATACACACTCCTTCACGTGGGCGTCTCGCGGCGCTCAACTCTTCCTCGTCTCGCGGTTTCCGATTCTGCGCAGTGGAGCCCGATCCACTTTTGATGAGCATTTTGAGAGCTGTGCGGAAAAGCTGATGAAGTCCAGAAAACTTGTAGCAAAGTAGCGATTTGAGCAACGATGAGTGATCCTGTCGTCGACAACGCCGTGACATCGGGCAATTCTTCGGTTGCGATTCCGACAGACATCAGCGGGCAAATATTAGATCTAGATGAAGACGATGACTTGGAAGTTTTCAGTAAGGTAACGTTAATTTATAATCAACTGGTTTAAACGGAGGTCGATCGCACACGGTTAGATCAATCCTGTAAAACAGGATCATAACTTGAGTTAAAATCTTTTGATTCTACATCATAAAGCTCGTAGAAATCTCTCTGAAGATTTCTCACTGAAATCTGGGTGTTTTGCTGTGATCTGAAGTTTCAAAGGTCAGCGATCAGGCGCTGTCATGTCATGTTTTTTTCTCATGTCATGTTATTACTGTTGTATTTTCAGTAGATTTCGTCTTAAACTTAATATGATGGCAGTACTCATCGCACAGCTCAGTACAGATACAACCTGTGTGTGTTTGACTATCGCTAACGTTACTTCACTGTTTATCTATCTGTGCTTCCCTTTCGACAGGCACAAACCAGAACTTCATAACAATTCCCAGCAAACAGTTAGAACATAGACTAGTAGCAGTCTAACAACTAGGCAGAACGCTTAAATGGATAGTTCAACCAAAAATTAAAATTCTGTCATCAATTACTCACTCTCAATTTTCTGTCATCAATTACGTTACTCACCCTCATGTCTTTCCAACCCCGTAAATCTTTCATCGTCAGGACACAAATGAAGATCTTTTTGATGAAATCTGAGAGCTTTCTGTACTTTGACGCCTCAAAAGTTCATTACGAGATCGAAAAACTAATACATATTAATTGTTGCGGTTTAGTCCAAATTTTCTGAGTTGATGTGATCGTGATGAGACTTTTATTCGCATATAAACATTCATCAACCCACACATCAGTTGTGGTAAACTGATGCTCAAACATGTTTGCTTGACATTCTTCTTGTGTTACGCAGCACGTTTGAGCTTCTGTTTATGTTTGCTAATCAATATGTGAATAAAAGCCTATATTTAATCTGTTGATCATATAAAGCGGCCAAGTCTCTTCAGATTTGGACTAAACCTTTGGAAGTAAACCATACTAAAACTATGGATTCGTTTTAAGATCTTTTTCGAAGGGTCAAAGTGGTAGTTACGTAGCTGTCAATGGAGGGACAGAAAGCTCTCCGATTTCATCAAAAAGATCTTCATTTGTATTCTGAAGATGAACGAAAGCCTTACTGGTTTGGAACGACATGAGGGTGAGTATTTATGATAGAATTTTCATTTTTGGGTGAGCTATCCCTTTAACAATGCCCAGCAAGCAGTTAGAACACCCTAGCATTGTCCTACCAACCGCTCAGAGAGCTTTAGCAAACATTTGCTTGGACTCCGTCTGTTGTTAAGGTCTGTATAACCTTATGTTAAAACTGTTTAAAATTTTCCAACACAGCTTTGTCAGTCCAACATCAAAGTTAGTTTTGACAAACTTTCATTTGGAGTAGGAGTGTTTGTACTTCCCTCAAACATTGTAGGTGGTGTTGTAGTTGGTATTAGCAGTGAATGGTTATGAATGGAAGTGAGGTGTTTGTAGTGTAAAGCAGAAGCGCAGTTTGTGCTGACTATGGGCCGGTTTGTTATGACAGGAAACACACAGGCTTCTTTCCCAGCAGCTGTGGCTAAACGAAAGGGATTTGCATGCGTCAGTGTTTGGACCAGGAAAAGATAGCAAACCATTAGGAAAATCAGATGTTTGTCTCTCACTGTGATAAAAACCCAAACACAGCCCTCAAAGCAGGTTTAAAGCAATATTATGTCCAGTTTTAATGATACACACTTAAAATGGCATCATATTGACAAGATAGAACTTTGAACTTTGTAGAACCATTAAATATTGTGCCTTTTTATGTTGTTCACAAGATACATAGATTTTTTTGGAAACTTGAATTTAAGCAGCTCTTGCTTTTTAATGTTTTTAGGTATATACAAGTGTAAAGGATCATGTGACTGAAGACTGGAGTAATGATACTAAAAATTCAGCACAGGAATAAATTACATTTAGTAGGGGCCAAAAGTGATGTCCAGCCTGGGAAAATTGACATCTTCACCCCTTGTTGAAATATTATTAAAAATTGGTTAAAGATTTTGTATATTGCGTAGTTGTGCTGGGAGTAAATTATTTTCTTTGTGATAACGCAGTGAAAAGTCCGCCAAATTGTGCGGACATAATTTTTGTCCAGGCTGTCATACAAAAACATTATGAACGCAAAAACAAAAGAGAACCAACAAAATCTTAATAACTTAATAATATTTCCTATTTAAAACTTGACTCTTCTGTAGTTACATCGTGCACTAAGACCGACGGAAAATGTAAAGTTGCGATTTTCTAGGCTGATATGGCTAGGAACTATACTCTCATTCCTGCGTAATAATCAAGAAACTTTACTGCCGTACCATGATATGACGCAGCGCCTGAAAATAGTTCCGTTGTGTTGACGCCGGAAGGTGGCCTATTTTCAGGCGCTGCGTCATATCATTACGCCTGCTGCACTCATGGTACGGCAGTAAAGTTTCTTGATTACTACGGAGGAATGAGAGTATAGTTCCTAGCCATATCAGCCTAGAAAATCGCAACTACATTTTCCGTCGGTCTTAGTGCACGATGTAACTACAGAAGAGTCAAGTTTTAAATAGGAAAAATATCGAAACTCTTTGGTCATTTTTTTTTTAGAAATGCTAATGGTCTTGTCCACTTCAATGATGTATGCTAAGCTATGCTAAAAGTGGTACCGCTAGAACCGGAGATCGGCTGAATGGATTCAAAAACGGTAAAACTCAACAGTTTAACTCTGGGGGAGTTGTAAAATGAGTATCCCTTTAAAGACCCACTCCGATGAAAATAATGTTTTTCTAGGGCAGGGGTCGGCAACCCAAAATGTTGAAAGAGCCATATTGGACCAAAAAAAAATAAAAAATTAGGTCTGGAGCCACAAAAGATTAAAAGCTTTATATAAGCCTTATAATGAAGGCAACACATGCTGTAAGTGTTATATTAGCCCTCTAGTATCAAAATGATAAGTAGGCTACAAATTAGAGCTTAGATCGGGCCCAAAAAATCAAGCCCGGCCCGACACATTTAACGTAATTATGAGCCCGAGCCCGATTTTAACCCGACCATTTTTTAATGCGTGGGTCGTTATAACTGACGTTCTCAACTTTCTTTCTCCCGCGCCCGCAACATTTATGTTTTGTCCCGCTCCCGCCCGCAAATAGACTTTTTTCTGTACCTCCAAATACTTTCAAGTTAGCCTACGTGTCGCCACCATACATCCTCCTGATAAATTATTTGTTATTAAAGCATTAAAACACAACAAACCACTGTTAATGTAACATAAAAGCAAGCAGTTTACTATGCGTGCATGGTTTGGGATGACTTTGGGACGCCAATTGCGCTCTCTTAATAATTCCTAAAAAGCTGACAGTTCATCGCGATCTCACACATCTCTGTTATTATCAATGAAGCTGACTGCACAATGAATCTTTCATAATATCCCCACGTTGTTCGTTATAATTGGAGAATTTGCCAGCATACAGAATTCAGCACTGAACAAAAAAGTCAGTTTTGAGCGTGAGGGGAGTTTATCTTAAATGCTTCTGATTGGCCATTGCGTTCAAGAAATCAACACATATGTCTGTGATTGGCTATATCGCTCAACGCTGCAAACATGTTATGAAAAGAAATTCTGGCCTGTAAATCGTTTCTATTTTGTTTTAGTAGAGTGAGTGCATTACCGCAAGCACCCGCGCTCGCACTCGGCCATCAAATCTAGTCCCTCGCCGCACTAGAGTGCGTTGGGAGTGCTCAGCTGTCTTTCTCTTTTTCCCCTTAGGATCCATGGCCCATGACACACCCGCCGGTTTGTTTGTCAGCCACCGGTCTGGCATCACGCCGATCTGACAGACACGTGTGTCACAGTCTATGACGTAAATTCTTCGTTGACAGAAATGTTGAAATTAAATATTTATTATACACATTTTTACAACGTTGAAAAACTTTAAGAATGTTTGTCCTGTTTTTCATCCTACAGAAATTATATTAAAACAAAAAATATTTTTTCCATTTTCAAATTTTTGAAAAAGCTCCAGGGAGCCACTAGGGCGGCGCTTAAGAGCCGCATGCGGCTCTAGAGCCGCGGGTTGCCGACCTATGTTCTAGGGGGTAACATGTTCTTGTGGCATTTTTCTGATGTTAGAGGACATATCTTGAGAAAAATAAGCTCAAAGTTGTATTTCTGAGTATTTCTACATTCAAATGGCTGTGAATCAGTAGCAGACGCTAAAATGCCGGCTAAAATAGACTGGAGTTGTGACGTAGTAACTCCACTGGGCGTCTCCACTCGCGACGTCTTGGAGTGAAATAATGATCGGTGATAACTTTGATTAACTTCGGATAATAATAATTAACGTGTATTATATAATACTGTTGCCCCACCGGTATTGGGGGTGTAAGCTAGCGGGAGAGACAGAGCTCTCAGCAACGGGCAGGGGGAGGGTCGTCTCCGTGCCAACGGCTCCGCCCACAACGCAGAGGCGAATTGCTAATGAGCTACTGCCGCTCTGCTGAAGCGAAGTCCCAGAAAACGGCACAGGTTTTGTGATTTTGGCTAAAAATGGCATAATCATAATTTAAAGACCACTGGGAATGTTTAAAAATAGCTCAAAATATGATCGGAGTGGGACTTTAACTCGATCCCTCTAACTCCTCCAATTTGCACTCACACTTTTGAACCGTTACCCTTTGATTCCTTGGCTCAAGACGATTCTATTGTGTATGATGTAATTTCCCATCATACATTTTTACCGCCATTTTTAATTTTCTGAAAAATCTACTTTTTCGAACTCCCCCTAGCTCCTTGCTCTGACCGTTGTTGTTTTTTTGACCGACAAAAAAAAAAAAAAATTTAAGTCATTCATCAAACCGTTGTCGTTTAGCGTGATAACAAATTATACGGACAACATGACAAAATGGACATGAGGCTTTATCTCAGCACTTTATGCAGCACTTTAGCGAATTCTGACCAAACTTGGTGTGTGTTATGTCTAGGGTTGCAAAGGGGCTAAAAAATGCGGGTACATTTCTAGAAACTTTCCAAGTTTCCGAAAAATTGCAAACATTTTCTGGAAACTTTACTACCTTAGTTATGACATTGACAACCATGAACTGAGGGTACTTATAGTTTATGCGCAGTGCCACCTAGTGGTCACGAAATATGAAAAAAAAATAGCTATAACTTCTGAACAGTTTGACCAAAAATCTCTTCCAAAAAATCTTTAAAAAACTGTCACCGACACTGACCACACCAGATCAATTTGGTGTCAGTGCCACCTATTGGTCAAAAGTAATAAACAATTATGTCACATTACAAGTGATTTTATTAATTTAATAGCATTTCAGCCATTTTTTGCTTAAAATCATCTCCAAATGTCTTTACTCATTTTTGCAGTTGGTCTGATGCTCGCTTCATTGATTTTTAGCTCCTCATTCTGCCTCTACGGTGCTTGGCCCCTGATTGCTGCTTGCAGCTATATTGTAGATTGCAATCATATTTCACAATATTTCAGTTTTCACTGATCAAATAAATGCAGCCTTGGTGAGCATTAGAGACTTACGGAAGCATATTGCATTCACTTGAGGAAAAAAATCTACTCTGTTTTTCTGAATGAACGAGTTAATTATCTCAGAATTACGAGATCATTTTTCATGGAAAAAAGTTTTTGCTCTGTTTTTCTGAATTAACGAGTTAATTATCTCAGAATTACAAGATATTTTTTCATGGAAAAAAGTTTTTGCTCTGTTTTTCTGAATTAACGAGTTAATATCTCAGAATTATGAGATACATTTTTCTTGAAAAACGTTTTTTTCACTCTGTTTTTATGAATTAATGAGTTACTCATAATTTTGAGATAATTAAGTCATTAATTCAGAAAAACAGAGCAAAAACTTTTTTCCATGAAAAATTATCTCGTAATTCTGAGATAATTAACTCGTTAATTCAGAAAAACAGAGTAGATTTTTTTCCTCAAGTGAATGCAATACGCTTCCGTAGAGACTTATTTTAAAAACATTAAAGAAAATTTGACCCGGTGGTGTATATAGTTTTTGTTTTAAATAACTTGGACATGGTACCATAGTAATTCAGTGTTACATTTATTGCTGTAAACTTAACTAAGATTTAAAAAAAAAATTACGCCAATCCACATCCAATTGGTTGAAAGCACTTGTTGTTTGCTTGATGTCTAAACACTTGTGCTGTCGGTCCCTCACGTGTCCTGATGTTTTGTGTAGGGTACGACTCTCACAGAGGGGAGCTCTTTCAACGCCTCCATGCAGACCTCCCCTGCTTCAATGATCAACCAGTACAAGTTTGAGGAAGAAGAGGGAGACGCTGACACCAAAGATATTTTTGTCACAGTCGATAACCCAGAGAGTCTCGTGACGGCTATTGAGACATACGTAACCTACCGGGTCATGACCAAGGTACGGCGGATCTGAGCACAAATTCACCCAGTCAGGTTCTGTGAATAATTCTCTCACCTGTTTCCTTCATTCTCCCTCACATCAGACCACACGGAGCGAGTTTGACGCGAGTGAGTTTGAGGTGCGAAGACGATACCAAGACTTCCTGTGGTTAAAGGGACGCCTGGAAGAGGCTCATCCCACGCTCATTGTTCATGTAGGTGAAGTGCGCGAGTCTCTTGCTTGTCAAACATTCTGGAAGAATGAACACAGTTAGAATGGAAGTCTGTGGGGCAAGGCATTTTATATTTAAATTTTTCCTTCCAAATATTTTTTTTTTTATGAGTGGAGGAACTTCGAATGACTTAAAGGGATAGTTCACTTTGAAATAAATTTTTGATATGTTTTAGCTTACCTCCAGTGCATCCAAGATGTAGGTGTCTTTGTTTCCACAGTATCTTCAATTTTGATAATTTTAGGTAAAACCGTTGTTGTCTGTCAGTCATACAATGGAGGTGAAGGGGGTCCTCCTCAAAGAGCAGTCAAAATTAAACATTATTTAATGACTCGTAAATGTAAGTAGACATTGATGCCCTAAGACACGAAACGAGCGGTTTGTGTGAGAAAACGAACAGTATTTATATTGTTTTCACCTCTTGTAACCACAGCCATGCCCAAGTTATCTGAGGGCGCGGGCGCTTCCGTGTGTGACGTGTACGCAGACTGGTGCATAGATATATATACCCTAGATGTCGCCTTGGCTAAGGTTTCGTTCCAATGAACTGCCGTCGCCAAGGCGACATCTAGTTTATCTATGCACCAGTCTGCGTACACGTCACACACGGAAGCGTCCGCGCCCTCAGATAACTTGGACATGGCTGTGGTTACAAGAGGTAAAAACAATATAAATACTGTTCGTTTTCTCACAAAAACCACTCGTTTCGTGTCTTAGGGCATCAATGTCTACTTACATTTACGAGTCATTAAATAATGTTTAATTTTGACTGCTCTTTGAGGAGGACCCCCTTCACCTCCATTGTATGACTGACAGACAACAACGGTTTTACCTAAAATTATCAAAATTGAAGATACTGTGGAAACAAAGACACCTACATCTTGGATGCACTGGAGGTAAGCTAAAACATATCAAAAATTAATTTCAAAGTGAACTATCCCTTTAAAGACATAATTTCACATCCCTTTAAAAATGATATAAAGGTCTTGTCCTCTATCTCATAATACAATGACTTGATTGTGTCCCATCAGCCACTGCCTGAGAAGTTTGTGATGAAAGGAATGGTGGAGAGGTTTAATGAAGATTTCATTGAGACGAGGAGGAAGGCGCTGCACAGGTTTCTGAACAGAATAGCAGAACATCCAATTTTCTCCAGCACTGAGGATTTTAAGATCTTTCTCACTGCAGAATCTGGGGTAAGACTCTTTATACAATATATATATGTTTATTTATGCACTTATTTATTCATTTTTAGGTAGTTATTTATCTACATTTTTGTTTATTCATTCATTTATATTTTGTTATTTATCTGTTTATATTTTTAAGCATTTTATACAATTTATGCATTTTATATTTATTTATTCATTCATTTTATTATTGTGTAGTTTATTTTTATCTATTTATATATTATGTTTTATACAACTACTTATACATGATTATTTATACATTTATTTTTATTAATGAATTCTCTTTTTTTATTTGCATATTTATGTTACATTTTATTTAAACATTTACTTATGCATTTATTTTCATATTTATACATTTATGTTAATGCATTTCTTTATAAAATGTATTATTATTATTATTATAAACGTGTAATACGGTTATAGTTTTATATATATATATATATATATATATATATATATATATATATATATATATATATATATATATATATATATACTTAAAGGTACAAAAGGGGTATTAAAGTTTAAGTATTAAAGTATTTCATATTTAAGTATTAAACTTTGGTGCATAACTCATATCTAGGGACCAAAAGTAGAAACTTGGTGATCTTTTTGACCCGTAAGTGATTCACCAGTAAGTGATAACCTAGCAACAACCCAAAATATCCCGGCAACCACATAGCAGTTATGTTATAATCTCTATTTATTTATTTGTGTTGATATTCCACTGAAAGATTTTGCTCTTTTGCTAGCGACATTGTTTTCTTCCTAATAAGGACATTAAAATCTGCGTGTACACACACACACACACACACACACACAGTCCCACACTCTACCTTACCCTGATAATCACTGACCTAATGTGTGTTCATTATGTCATCTCAGTTTTGCTTTATATGAGGATTATGTTGAATTCACAGAGATAATGTGACAGTGTCTGTTTAGACCTGGCTGAGTGACCTCTAAGATAAGTACTTTACAGTATATAGACCTCCTTTCAGTCATAATAGAGGAAGTTTTTCTGTGATGGATATTTGACGCTTTGTAGGCTGTCGACCACGTTTTCTGTCATTAGAGGCTTTTGCTGAGAGAACATAGTGAAAATGGGGGTTATTTTGCTGTTGTCAACCTGCATCATACACTGTTCCACTGATCCTCTATGCAGGAGTTGACCTCTCATAAGAAACAGGGTCCAAGTTTTCTGAGCCGGATGGGGGAGACGGTGAAAGCTGTCGCTGCTTCAGTCAGAGGGGTCAGAAACCGGCCTGAGGAGTTCACTGACATGCAGGAGTACGTGGAGGCCTTCACTCAGAAGATCGGCTCGCTCGATAAAGTTAGTCAAAGGATCGTCAGAGAGAAGAAAGGTTGGACTTTTATCCCATTCACACTCTTTTCCATGAATTCTCCTCCCTTTTCTCATCTAGTCTCATCTTCTTTTTACTTAATTGAATGGCATATGTATTCATATGGGCTTTAGCTGCTATAGCTGCATAACCCGGCTGCTGCTGCTGTTGTCTCAGAGCACCTGGAGGAGCTGAAGGAGTGTGTGCCGATATACACGCTGTGGTCCCAGTCAGAGGAGGAGCTGGCCGAGCCCCTGAAGAGCATGGCAGGCTGTCTGGACAGTTGCTGTAAGGAGACAGAGGAACAGGTCAAAGAGCTCAATGATCACCTGATTCCAGCCCTTCATGAGTACGTCCTCTGCACTGAGACGCTCAAGGTAGACCAGCTGACAAGATGATCCTGTTTTCTCTTTCGTGAAGGGATAGTTCACCCCCAAATGAAAAGTCGGTCATCATTTACTCACCCTCATGTCGTTCCAAACCTGCATGACATTCTTTCTTCTGCAAAACACAAAAAGTAAAAAAAAAAGTGTTTTTTTGTGTGTGTGTTTTTAAAGAAATATTTTTTTTTTATTTAATAAGAAAAAATATTAAGCAGCTCAAAGGTTTTCAACATTGTTAATAATCATTTCTAGAACAGCAAATCAGCATATAAGAATGATTTTTGAAGGATCATGTGACACTGAAGACTGGAGTAATGATGTGGAGAATTCAGCTTTGCATCACAGGGAGAAATTACATTTTTTAATGTATTAAAATGGAATAATTGTGTTGATTGTTGATCAAATAAATGCAACCCCGGGGAGCATAAGAAACTTATTTCAAAAACATAAAAAAAAATCTTGTATGCATGAATAAAACAGTTAAAACATTTTTTTTTAAATATCTGACATGAGGGTAAGTCAATGCGACAGAATTAACATTTTAGGTGAACTGTGCCTTTAAGTGTAGAATGTTATATTCATTTGTTTTGGTTAAATAAAATGTTCTGTTCCAGTTTGTTTGAGGCAAACGACCTGCTTGTTTTCCTAGTATAAAAATCATGTTTGAATTGGTATGATATTGACATACACCTTGATGCAAAGCTAAGATCAATACAGCCAACAATATGTTTTTCTGATGCTTATTTCATATTTCATCCAGCCTTAAACTTCATTAAAATGTATTGATCACAATGTTCATACTTCACGCGTATCGATCATGGGTTTTCAGGCGGTACTAAGGAGGCGAGACAACATCCAGGCGGATTTTGAAGCAAAGACTGAAGCTCTTGCCATGAAGAAGGCCGACAAGGATGCGGTAAGTCCATTATTGACTCTTTCCATTCTCCACGTAATCCATCCAGCGCTCCTTTGAAAATTCACGGGGATTATTTTTAATAAAACCGAGCTCTAGTCGTTCAGTAGACACTAGACAGCACTCCTTTCTAAGCTGTAAAAAAATTTGGAGAGATCATATAAATATCTCCGGATAGCTGTATATGTCCCTTAAAGCCAGACTACTCTTGAAATGGGATGCTTTTAAATATTACTTATATTGGCCCAAGCTAATATTGCCATATTTAAGTCTCTTTGGATTTTTGAGGGTTTTTTTTGTCAATTCCATCAAATATCAGGTGCGGGACGCTTGAACGCTCTGAAAGGGCATTACTGGACAAAGAACCGATGGTGTCTAGAGAAGCTTAGCAGCATCTCGGCACTCTTGTCAATTTAATTACGTGATTTGATTGAGCGCTGTCCCTGCTGACTTCTGCTGCTTACTACAAAAGGTCATTTCCAAAATGAGAAGGTATCCCCAATGCTCAGAATTTTTTTTATATATACCAAAAGAACTATAAGAATATCTTCTAGATTCACTCACTCACAGCAGGTAGAAAACCATAAACCATGATATATTTGAATGTCCACATTCAGCTGTGGATCATTATGTAAAATTTGATCCCAATTTAACTACTAAACAACATGTAGTAGTGAGCGGTGTTGCAATGGGAAACTTACTCTAAAATTGTACTTTGGTCAAGCTACAAGCTACTCAAAAAAAAAAGTTGTTTTTTTTGACGCACGGACCCCCAAGGGCCCCCTTCCTAAAATATAGACGGTTATATATTTAAATGTATAAAGACCTATTTTATTCTGTGACAATGGACAATATATACTTTATACATTTATTTTATTTACATATTTCACTATTTTTTCAGCTAATCATTAGAGGGATTTTAAATGTGTAAACCTGCAGAGAAAAATAATACTACGACTGTTCAATAAAATAAAATCATTTTGTTTACTCTCATGATCAGCCTTTAGAAAGCAGGATGAGACCGTACATTTTTATTTATTTATTTTATTTTATCATTACATAATTTAATGCACTTTTAAGCCGTTTAAGAGGATACTATCTTTTTAAAATATATAACGTATTATTAAATATATAATTTATTATTGCAGTAAAATTAGGTACATTTTAAAACTAAATAGTGATAATCAGCAGCGTTTAAAAGGGTCATATGATGCTTTTTAATGTTTTTATTTTCCTTCAGTGTGTACATTTACTGTTTGTGCATGTCTGCGATCTGCAAAGTTACTAAGATTTATTCTATCTAACAGAGAACTGATCCAGGCCTGCCTAAAACCCCTCGATCAAAGTTCAGATATTACTTCCTCAATTGTCACAATGTGAAATCGTGTCATTGTCATGTGACAAAAATGGCGATGTAACATTGATGGCTCGTTGCTTGCAGTGATCTAATCAGTATCCCATTACAAATCCAATATAGCATTTCTGAATTTCCATAGTGTGATGTCATTAACAGTGTTTTGTGACTTCAAGTCCAGACTTGTTCATATTCACGTGTTCATGTGTCCATTGAAGGAATCTAAGGTGCTGAGTTTAGCATGGGACAGCTTGGTGGGACGATCCCCCGAGGAGGTCAAACAGCAGAAACAGCAGAAACTTAAGGGTGAGATTAAGGAGGTAATATTCCCCATCAGTGCTTGGGCTTGGCCTGACTAGCTTCTTCTGGCTTTATCTGCTCGGGCATTCGTTTGACATGTAGATGTGCTTCCCGAGGTGACTCGCCCTGTTATGAGGGTGTTGTCGCCTTGTCTTTGTTTCACACATTTTTGTTTACAAGCGTAGTTTAGGCCAGCTTTACGTTTGAATGCTGTGGTGTGTGTGATGTCAACATATGCGCTGTCTAACATGCTGTGGCTATTTTGAGCGGATAACCGGTTAATACCTCACTCTGCTGAGCATGTTAGCATAGTAGGTTTTAAGGTGTGGTGCATGTGACCTTTTTTCAGTCTCGTCTAACTACTTTGTGCTAGAGTTACGAATGAAACCTCAAATCATATGGCTTGTTGAGGAAGAGGTGTGTTATTACTTTTCTTGGAGATCAGGACTGTTTGCAACAGACCCATGAGGCTGAGAAAACCCTTGGTTATAAATCTTGCCCTATCGGGTTTGTGTTGCAGGATTATTATTGGTTTTAATAATATATTTACTTTTTTTTTTTTATAATTGTTAATTGTTTTTATTTTTAATAATTAAAATAATATATATATATATATATATATATATATATATATATATATATATATATATATATTGTATTTTAGGGATGCCAAAGTTAATGTGTTAATTTAATCAATTATTTTATTTTATTTATTATTTATTTTTCACTGTAGTTTACCCTATCATTTAAAAATATTTAAGCATTTTCAGTTTTTTTTCTTTCTTTTTTTGAGTTTAGGGCTGTCAAAGTTAATGTGTTATCATTTTAAAATGTTTGACAGCGTTAAATTTCTCAGCAGTCTAGAGTTATTGCAATCTTTAATCTAAGCCAGTTGTAAAGGTTTTAAGTTTTATATAATACCACGTATAAATAATGTCATTGGTGGTCATTTTCATTTTATTTTAATTAAAAAATATATATTTGTATCTAAAAAAATAGTTAACAGTAGATAGTGATGTGGTTTGTTAATATGGAGACTTAATTTGGGTCAGAAAGTATCCACCCAGAACACCCTAGCAGCCACATAGCAACACCCTGGTAACCACCCAAAACTTTACTGGCGAGTTTTGCATGGGCAAGCAATGTACAAATCTCATTTTTACTGCTTCTTTCATAGTGTTTCCTAGCAGACTGCATGAGGTTTTAACGGTTAGCACAAATGCTGTAGACACATTGAGCTGGGGTTCTCATATCGAAGTTATGGGTTCGAATCTGGCTTGCATCACATCCTCCTGATCCTATGCCCCCTCTTTTCCCCATCATTTTTAGTCATCTCACTATGAATGAGTGAGAAAGGATGCAGTGATGTGCTTTCAGTCCAGTAGAGGGCACTAAAGGTCACTTATATAAACAGGTGGAAGTTCATCATCCCATCGGAATCTCTCTCCAAAAGGTCTAAATAAATAATGCCCTTACTTAAGTTATGCAATGCAATGCAATGGCATTCAGACTTTAAGTGTCCAGAAAATTGAATATGCGAATCAACCAAGTTTGACCAAGAAGATTCATTCATTTCTATAGGAGTGGATATTAGAGAGAGAGAGAAAGGGGGAGATAGTGGGAGATAGTGTGTGTGTGTGTGTGTGTGTGTGTGTGTGTGTGTGTGTGTGTGTGTGTGTGTGTGTGTGTGTGTGTGTGTGTGTGTGTGTGTGTGTGTGTGTGTGTGTGTGTGTGTGTGTGTGTGTGTGTGTGTGTGTGTGTGTGTGTGTGTGTGTGTGTGTGTGTGTGACAGCAACATCAGATCAGCGGAACTAATGATCTGGCCTGCTTGTCAGAAGAGAGACGTGGCTGTAGACAACGTCTCATCCCTAGAGAACTGCATCCATTCACCAAACACAACTGCTGTTCCACAAGACAGCCTCACATCTGATTCACACGCTACAATGGAAATGAGATGGAGCTCTAACAGATAGCCACCTCTGACCTTCATTAGCTTACCTGTCAATAAACATCTCGCTCTCTATTTCAATCTCTTTTAAATGTTCCTCGCAGTCTTGGCCCACTGATCTGACGTGCTGCCGTTCCCACAAGCCTGTCATTCCTGACATCACTGGGCATGTTTACTGTTCATCTCTCGCTCAGTGTTTAGACACTGATACTGTTGAGTGTCACCCCCAGAGAGCTCTCGCACTAAATAGAGTACGAGAGAGTTGTTAATGGCCACACTGTGAGCCAATCACAAGCTGCGCAGTGACAGGAAAGCAATCGTGCATTATGCGAAGACCCTAACAATACACAAGGTGGCTGAAAGTTTGTTAACACCATTGTCTAATTAGGGGGTTTTACTATTTCAGTTACAAAATCTACTTTTGCTGAGTTTTAATTGCATTTAAACCTATTAACAACCTATTAAAATGATTGTTTTCTGTTAGAATATATTTTTAAATGCAGTTTATTCCTGGTATGGCAAAGCTGAATTTTCAGCACCATTACTCCAGTCTTCAGTGTCACATGATCCTTCATAAGTCATTCTGAAATGCTGTTTTGATGCTCAAGAAACATTTCTTATTAATATCAATATTTAAAAAAGTTTTGCTGCTTAATTTTAGTGGAAACCATGATAAGTTTTGAAACAGAGTAATATAAAATGGATAACTATGGTTTGAAAGCAATTTTAAAAGCTGTCAGATAAGCTTAGCGTCATTGTTTGAACAACTCTTTTAGACTTTCGAGACAACTTGCAGTGAGCCAAGAAACAAATTAACTTAATTACAGTGAACGATGTAGTTGATATCAGCATGACAATATTATTCCTGCATGCTCAGCGAGTTTTTACAGTAGTTCTACTCCTCAGTAATGAAGGCTTTTACAACACTAAAATAAAAATGGCTATACGTCAGCAGTCTGATGGTGGAAGAGCTCCTATAATAATATTGGTGTTGACATGTTGGTTTTTACTTGTCCGTTCAGAGCTACATGACTTATCATCTCTAAAGTCATGGGTCAGGATTAGGGATGCGCAAAACTACATATTTTCAAAATTGGTTAGTCAGTAGGTCATCTGAGGGATTAGTTGACTAGGAAATCCTTTAGTTTAGGGTTGTGACCACCAGACTCGATTAGATCGGCTTCTTAGCAATAAATGGTAAATGTAGCCCTTTCAATGGATTCAATAAAAAAAATTTCATTAGAGGCTTTTATTGCAAAGAAACTATGATAGTGCTTTCAATAAAAGACAGCTGTAGCTTAATATGCGAGGTGATTTGAGGTATAAAACACTGATTCTAACACACACACACACACACACACTCATATACATATATATATATAATACTGTTATATATATATACTGTATATATATTAGTATTATATATAATATTATAAAACATACTTCTTTTATACACATTACACTGTGTGTGTGTGTGTATATATATATATATATATATATATTAGAGCCCGACCGATATGGATTTTTGGGGGCCGATGCCGATACCGATATTAGGGAGTAAAAAAAGCCCGATACCGATATATCGGCCGATATTATTTATGTGTATATTATAATACAGTAGCAATATTATTTATGTGTATTATAGTACAGTATACCAGTCAAAAGTTTGGACACTTTCCTATTGGTGTGTGCAAACTTGATGGGTACTTTACACAGTAGCTATAAACAGAATAAATATATTTTATAAACACGTTTTGCAATGATCACTCAAAGGTGGTGATCAAACACTTGTGTGACACAGATATGTAATGGAGGCAGGGGGAATGATAGAATGAGAATTATACAGCTGAGCTGTAACCAAACTAGTTTTCATTGCATGTTATATTATATTATATTATATTCTAAATACTGTTGCATAATCTTCACTAACGACGACTTTGTCTTTTAATTTAGTCATAACTTGCATCAATAAATATATAAAAAGTGTCACTGACAAAACCTTATTATCTTCTATTTTTACTCTTAATTCCTCTAATCTCTACCAGTGGAGGAAGAACTCAGATCTTTTTACTAAAGTAAAATGAATAATATCATAATGAAAACGTTTTTAATTACATATGTACAGTACTTTTATACTATTTTAAATAATTAGTAAGCAAAATGTACTAAACGTGAAACTAGGCTACTCTTAATGTAAAATGGCCCTATATAAAGTGTTATAATTATATACATTTTTGGAATATTGCTTGATGTTGTAACGTAGCGTTATCAGGCAGAATGAGCTTTAACACGGTGTCTACACACCGGACGCGGCCGTTACTGCTCGCGGCGCAACAGCTGTTTACCCGAGACAAAGCAGGATCAGTTTACTGTCGGAGATCGCTCGCGCCACGCATTTTAATCAATGTTTCATCAACCAATTGCCTTAATAAATAAGAAGTAGGCCTAAATATAGCAGACAATATAATCAGGACTTCTCAGCTGCGCGCTTGCAATAGTCACAAGCTCACACAATACGTGACAGAGGCTGGTAGCAGAGAAATCAATTCTGTGAATTACACAGCGCAAATCACAAGTAGGCTACTACCCACCGGATGAAGAAGGGTTGGCTCTCAGTCTCCACAGGCTACATAAAATATTCATTTTATTTTATTTTATTTTTCGTGTTCGCATTTATGAGGAAAAAACAATGTTACAGACGCGACAGTTCAGCACTACGGACGTGAGCGCTCTGAAAGCGGCACTAAAATATGCTTTGAAACTTTCACATAGACATCAAACAGAAAGCACAAAACCTTTCGTTTCAAAGTGAATTTCGTTTTGTATTAATTGTATCTTAATTTTAATCAATGTTTCATCAACCATTTGCCTGGATTTAATTTATAAGAAATATAGCAGACGATAGATAATCTCGACACGGAGGCGCCTGCGGGTGAACTGGAGCTCGTCTCATGAACCGAAACTCAGCGTATAGACCTGAGAATTGAAATATATCTATATTGAAATGTCTGCTTTTAAACAGAACAATTCAAAACGAAAGACAGACAGACTCATGTAATCGTATGAAATGTGCATTTCTCTCTGGCGCGCGTTCATTGAAGATCGCGAGTCAGCATCGTCAACTTCATCTTTGGCTGACACTGACTGAAAACACTTGTTTATTAATAAACAATTAAAATGTCTCCTTGCTATATTTGTTGTATTCATAATCATTACTTTTGCAAGTTCTTGTGACAGCTTTTAGGTGCTTTATTGGCAGCGCCACCCTTACATGAATCACCGCACCCGCATTTTTTTAAATATTCATTTATCGGCCATTATAAATGCCGATACCGATAGTTAGGAAAATGCCAAAAATCGGCCGATAATATCGGCCCGCCGATATATCGGTCGGGCTCTAATAGATATATATATATATATATATATGTGTGTATGTGTATGTATGGGTATATGTATATATACAAACACAGTGTAATGTGTATAAAAGAAGTATGTGTTATCACACATATGTATTATAATACATTTCTTATATATATATATATATCTGTGTGTATATGTATGTGTATATATATATATATATATATATGTGTGTGTGTGCTTCTTGTGAATGCTCTTCAATAGAGTTAAGATGTTAGACGTAAGACGGACCAGTTATGACACTGATACTTTAGAGGTTAACTGGACCACCATGCTAACCAACCAATCCTTGTGTTTAGATGAGAGATGAGCTGGATAAGATGGAGGACCGGCTGGAGTGGGCCAATAATGCACTCAAGAGCGACTGGACCCGCTGGCAGAAGGTCATGAGAACTGACCTACGATCAGCCTTCGTCGACACAGCAGAGAGGAACGTCAACTGCTATGAAAAGGTGAGATGTTTGCTTAGTTTGTGTGTGTGTGTGTGTGTGTGTGTGTGTGTGTGTGTGTGTGTGTGTGTGTGTGTGTGTGTGCATAACAAGAAAAAAAAAGATAAATTATATATGAATTAATTTGGGTTTTTGCATATCTGTTGGCAGAAGAATTTATTCTGATTAATATTAGTACATTAGTACGTCTTTTTATAAAATGTCTGTGGCCGCCATTTTATAAAAGCAAAAGCCACTTGAGGTTGGTTGTTACAATTTTAAATTTGATCACGCATTAAAATAGTGATTGATTGAGATTATTTGAGAAGATTTCAGAACTGAGAGATAAACATTCAAAGCTGGTAAAAATACTTTGGACAGACCACTGACAGATTTGAGAGGGTTGTATGTGGCCGTCTGCCTGCATTCATTTGCACAGCCGCCCTGGATCTGTGCCAGCAGAGGGTGGTAGTATCTCATTTTTATCCCTGCTGACAAGTAATTGCACTCCAAGTCTATAAATGTTGACATTGCTCGCTAGATTGGACGTGTTTTAGCCGGTTCACTGCTTAATTTATCTTTTTTTAAAGGTCTCTTCCTTTGCTTTTCAGTCGTAAACAATAAATTATGACCTCAAAGTTGAAGGTATTTTGCAACAGCACAATATAAAATGAGAAGCAAAGGAATAAAGTTGAACTGTCAAAGTTTTAGAGATGTTGTGATCTCTGGTTACCTGCTGTCACCTTAGAGGCTCGAGAGACCAACCTGTTGTTGGACAGAAACAGATGAATGCGTTTATAGCGAGAACGAATATAACAAAGTCTCTGTTATGTCTCCAGAGAGGTTGAGGAGACATCCACCGGGATTTTTAAGATGGAAACAGATTTAAAAATAAGCCATGTTGAAAGAACTGTCATTCTCTCCAGTGTTGAGGGAAGCTACTTTGAAACCGTAGCTTGCCAAACTACTCATTTAAAGTAGTTTTGACTACAGATAAAAACTAGCAGGGAAACTTAAATCAAAATGGCAGTTTGCAAAAGAACAAAAACTAGACTGAAACTAATACCATGCACTACAATAGGAACAAAAACTAAACCCAATTACAGGAGAAAATCATAGAAGTTTTTGTAATTGCAGGTCTGATTTAGTAAATGAAATTCTCAGGCCTGACCTCAAATTTATTAAGTTTTGTACATGACATTTAGGGTCTATGGAAGCTTGTTTCCACCATGGAAAAAATACTTTTTATCTCACAATTCTGACTTTTTTCTTCTTAGAATTTTGAGTTTATCTCACAATTCTGAGAAAAACATAATATATCTAAACTCGCAATTCTAACACTTTATAACTTGCATATAACTTGGAGTTTGTCTCTCACAGTTCTGAGAATAAAAAGTCAGAATTGCTAGAAAAAGTTAGAATTCTCAGATATCCTGAACAAAGTTAGAATTGGAAGTTTGTCTTGCAATTCTGAAAAAGTTAGAATTGGAAGTATGTCTTGCAATTCTGAAAAAGTTATAATTGGAAGTATGTCTTGCAATTCTGAAAAAGTTATAATTGGAAGTTTGTCTTGCAATTCTGAAAAAAGTTATAATTGGAAGTTTGTCTTGCAATTCTGAAAAAAGTTAGAATTGGAAGTTTGTCTCGCAATTCTGAAAAAGTTAGAATTGGAAGTTTGTCTCGCAATTCTGAAAAAGTTAGAATTGGAAGTTTGTCTTGCAATTCTGAAAAAGTTAGAATTGGAAGTTTGTCTTGCAATTCTGAAAAAAGTTAGAATTGGAAGTTTGTCTTGCAATTCTGAAAAAGTTAGAATTGGAAGTTTGTCTTGCAATTCTGAAAAAAGTTAGAATTGGAAGTATGTCTCGCAATTCTGAAAAAGTTAGAATTGGAAGTTTGTCTTGCAATTCTGAAAAAAGTTAGAATTGGAAGTATGTCTTGCAATTCTGAAAAAGTTAGAATTGGAAGTTTGTCTCGCAATTCTGAAAAAAGTTAGAATTGGTAGTTTGTCTCGCAATTCTGAAAAAGTTAGAATTGGAAGTTTGTCTTGCAATTCTGAAAAAGTTAGAATTGGAAGTTTGTCTCGCAATTCTGAAAAAAGTTAGAATTGGAAGTTTGAAAAAGTTAGAATTGGAAGTTTGAAAAAGTTAGAATTGGAAGTTTGTCTCGCAATTCTGAAAAAGTTAGAAATGGAAGTTTGTCTCGCAATTCTGAAAAAGTTAGAATTGGAAGTTTGTCTCGCAATTCTGAAAAAGTTAGAATTGGAAGTTTGTCTCGCAATTCTGAAAAAAGTTAGAATTGGAAGTATGTCTCGCAATTCTGAAAAAGTTAGAATTGGAAGTATGTCTCGCAATTCTGAAAAAAGTTAGACTCGCAATTCTGAAAAAGTTAGAAATCGAAGTTTGTCTCGCAATTCTGAAAAAGTTAGAATTGGAAGTTTGTCTCGCAATTCTGAAAAAGTTAGAATTGGAAGTTTGTCTCGCAATTCTGAAAAAGTTAGAATTGGAAGTTTGTCTCGCAATTCTGAAAAAGTTAGAATTGGAAGTTTGTCTCGCAATTCTGAAAAAAGTTAGAATTGGAAGTATGTCTCGCAATTCTGAAAAAAGTTAGAATTGGAAGTATGTCTCGCAATTCTGAAAAAAGTTAGAATTGGAAGTTTGTCTCGCAATTCTGAAAAAAGTTAGAATTGGAAGTTTGAAAAAGTTAGAATTGGAAGTTTGTCTCGCAATTCTGAAAAAGTTAGAATTGGAAGTTTGTCTCGCAATTCTGAAAAAAGTTAGAATTGGAAGTTTGTCTCGCAATTCTGAAAAAAGTTAGAATTGGAAGTTTGTCTCGCAATTCTGAAAAAAGTTAGAATTGGAAGTATGTCTCGCAATTCTGAAAACTAAAGAAAAGAAAACTAACTTGTGCGCACGCGAATGTCTGTATATTTTTATTTTTGCAAAGTCCCTTTAGGGGCTCCGTATATATCTCACAGTTTTACCTTTTTTATTCTGTGGAGGAAACAAGCTTCCGTGAGGGGCAGATCAATCTGAAATAACACAAAATAAGGATCCAGCAATGCAGCAAAGCACTTACTGCCAGTAATTGTGCTGCTATCTCCTTGAAATGTTGAAGAGACAACACAATTATTGTCTTGTTTACTTGATCCAAATGGCCTCAAATAAACGTCTTGAACATATAAAAAGAATTATATGCTATAAACTGTAAACTCTTAATATAGCGACTAGTTATTCTTCAAATGGATCCAGTCCATGTGGCTGAATCAAAGCAATTGGAGATGAACTGCTAAATTAGAAGATGTACTGCTAAATGCAACACACTTATAGCTCATTTGATTGGCCACAAGTAATGCTGTGTAGTATATTTCACAAATAAAACTTTGGCAGAATTATTTTGACTACAGTGCAGTTTCTAAATAAATATGTACTATCATATGCACAACTTTGTGGTTCTTTGTGTTATATGGTGCTAGGCAGTCAAATAATATATTAACTGTGATTTGATGAAATCTAGCTATTTATGCATCATTAAAACGGACTAGATCTAAACTGAAATTGAAAGCTGAAATACAAGGAAATACTGCATGCTCACAGGGCTCTGCAGACAACCTGTTCCTCACACGCATGTTTTTTTAGATGTAACCTCCAGGCAGAGACGCATTTTTATTTAACGTGGAAGGAAGAGCCTGACAGCATCAAACACTGACCTAAAAGAGAATATGGTGTGAGAAGAGGTAGAAAAAAAGAGAGATGGTGGATGACTGAGCAAATTTGTTTGTGCAAGAGAACTTCACCAGCCTTAAAGGGATAGTTCACCCAAAAATAAAAATTCTGTCATCATTTACTCACCTTCAGAAAAAAGTAGATAGAAAAAAAAAATACTATGGAAGTCAATGAGGAGCAGAAACTGTTTGGTTACCAACATTCTTCAAAATATCAGGTTTTGAACAACTTGAGGGTGAGTAAATGACAGAATTTTTCATTTTTGGGCTGAATTATCCCTTTAATCTGTGGAGACTCCTCAGTGTCTCTGAGGGTAATGTCCGTTAATCAAGATGGTCACGTGTCTCCTTACTAAATGCTGGTCAAACTACTATAGTTATTGGTAGACTTGTGATTTCGAAGTTGGTGTTTATTTGTAGTTACTCTGTGACTTATTTTAAAACAAAACCGTTAATTGGCAATTAATCACATAGTTTCTGAATCAATTTGCCAAGTCTAATCAGCATAGTGCATTATTGATGTGTAATAATATGAATTATACTTCATAAACTTTTTCTTAGTTCTCTGTTGTTTTGGGCCGCTTCTACCTTTACCGTTCTCCCCGCTGAAGTAATTTTCTTACGACAAATGGGAACACTTCAGTCTCCGTTGAGAATAGAAAATATATATTTTTTTATTATTATAATTATTTATTTAATAATAATTATTTTTTATAATTATATATCATTTATATTTTATAATTATAATAATTCATATTAGCTTCCAGGTCTAAACAACATGACTACTGTGCATTTTTTATTTATTGTTCAGTTTCACGTCTTGGTTTCAACCTATCATGAAGGCATTTGCATTCAACCTCAGCTCTCTGTAGACATTATGCTTACAATGCAAACTGATATAAGAAACGCTGTAACCCTGCACACTGATGTGGGTGGATGTTCAACGTTTGCAATGCCGTACATTACTAACACACGAGCCATGTACTGCAACATAGCATCTTCAGAGAATTGCCATGGAGACGCCATAGCAACAAGGCTGTAGCTGAAACGATGGCAAAGATGAGGGAGCTGTCATTAAATGTTACATATAATTCAGCCGGCACAGAGCCTTTGAAGGATTTTCAGACTGCAGAAACATTCATTTTGTAACCAAGAGTTAAAGCAACAGCTGATGCAACTGACGTTTCAAAATTCACATCTCGAGCTCTTGGACCGTGTAGCTTCTGTTTTTGCTGTCTGATCTGCACAGTTACGTCTCAGTTGTGTCTGTGTTGATGCATGTCATGATTAAAACCATCAGTAACCATGTTTCAGACAGAGACGTATTGCAAAGCAAACCCTTTGACTGTCTAAACATATATATACTGTCTATATATATATATATATATATATATATATATATATATATATATATAAAATTAAAATTATTTATTGAACATTGGCGTAAGTTGTTGCTGCCATTTAAAAAAAAAAAAAAATCAGATCAGATTTTAAAAAACTTTTAGTGTGGGCCAGCCTTGACCAACAAAGAATAAAACAATGCTGAATGCAAAGTTTTATTCTTTGTGAGAGACCACAAATATGAAAAATCATAGATTTTTAGACACAGTTTTGTTCCTATTGTGTGTGGAGAGCCACAATGTGACCAAGAGAGAACAACACACACTAACAGATTCCATTCACAAACAACCAGAGTCGCGACTGAACACAAGAAATCTCGCAAAATCTCTTGTGGTCAAACGTGACTTTAGAGTAAACAAACATGGCGGACGACGGGCAAGAAGAAATGGCGATTATAGTGTTTGGACTGCTCTTTACAGAATAATTTGTCAGGGGAAAAAGGTTTAACGAAGTCGTGTTATGCTTCCGTCTCCCGTCAGCTCGCTTTCTGATTGGGTATCGTTTCGTTCCCCGTGACAATCTACAGAGTGCGAACGCGTTTGTCCTCGGGGTTCCCCCACACAACAGGATTTCTGATCGTAAATATTCAACATGACGTTCTTCCAAGCAGATTCAATCACTCTTAACACTAGGGGTGTAACGGTTCACAAAATTCACGGTTCGGTTCGATACGATACACTCGTGTCACGGTTCGCTTCGGTACGATTCGGTACGTTTCCGATACAGCAAAAAGAAAGAAATCCCAGAAAAATTTCCTTTTTATTAAAACTAACAATAACATCATAAATTATGATATTTTTAACTTTGAGCAATGATGGAGCTATACTTGACTTTTCTTAGGAGCTTATAAAACAAAACAGCTCCTTGGACAAAAATGAAATGTAATATTGTAGTAGTTATAAACAAAGGTTTATTTTAGTTCAGATTAACATTTGAGGACAGCAATTGTATTCATAATGTCAAAATAAAACTGACGTGATGTTACTTGAAAGCATTATAGCCTAGACTACTATTCCTGCCAAACTTCCATGGTTACAGTTAGTAGTGTTACTACAGTAAACCCATGGTGAATGTTGCTGATCTGTGGACACTGGATAGTTCATTCATGGCACAATGTCTCTTCCTGGTTTCCACGTCAGCGCTGTTTGATCCGTTAATAACGGAGAAATGTGAATGTTTCTCACTAGATCTCGCAGCGATGTTATTACTTCAGTGGCGAATTCAAATGCTTTCTTTACTGGATTTGGCTGTGCAGTAACAGTGCTGATGATAAAGATCGGCTCGCGCTGCATTGGTCCAAACTGATAAACGGCCCGTCAACCACACAATAACGAGTGGTTTCGTTCCGCTTACATTACATTTGCCATTTGATGTTGGGCAATGTTGTGGTCACGCCAGCGTCTCTTACATTATGAGCGCGCTTGCCACGCGTGACGCGCCTACATTTGAAATAACGAAATTTTGGTCGGCAGGAAAAATGGTCCAACTGGTGACGGTCCAAATGGTCCAAAATGGTTCGGTTCAAAAATGCGTACCGAAAACCGAACCGAAAGCCTCGTACCGAACGGTTCAATACGAATACGTGTATCGTTACACCCATACTTACACATCACACCACAGGAAAATCTGATAAGACAATCTGTAGAACCATCAAGTTAGTCGGGACTTTACCTAGGATTTTCGGAAGGGGAGAATTGGGCCCAAAATCGTCCCGATTATCTTGCAGTGTGTGGGTGCCTTCGGTTGTCTTTTCCTATATGAATGCACAGCGCAGAGTTCTCAACTTCAGCAAGCGAAATACGACAATTCTTAACATATGCTTTCATATCAATCTCCTGCAAGTGAACGGCACACTAAAGTCTTGAGTGATCGCCCTTTTACCCAGCTGCCGAGATTCGGTGGTGCCAATCCCGATCACATCTGTCCCATTCAGCTTTGGCACACAGTTTTATTTTCTGTGATTAATCAGTCTCTTGAACCAGAGTTATACAGGTGTCTGCTTCCTTAAACTGGGCCGTTTGGTACTGAGACGAATATAGCCGTGTCCTAGTGTGATTCGGAGGGTGACTGTGGTCCAGCGCCCTCATGCATGGCCTGTCTAAAGTCATTTACCAAGGTCACGTCACGTCTGAATCCTGTGGTGATGGAGAAGATTGATTAACTGCTTTTGACAGTCAGTCGGCCGCAGCCAACGCGCCTCCAGAGAGTCTGCTATGAAACACGCTTGCGAGTGGCATCCGAGCGGTTTGGGTCGAGGTGTTTCGGGGCTTGGGTGACGGTTGACGAGTCCCTGTGAAGACATTTATCAAGGGCTTAAAAAGTGACACCTAAATGGCACTCGGTATGAGGTGCGACCAAAGCTTCTGAATGAAATTGGAAATCAAACAGAAGCCACTTGTCAGGCCTCACGGTTTACGTTGTTTAAACATCCGAGTTGTTACTGATATATTTTAAGATATTTTATGATATATTTTCTGAGAACGTATATCAATGCATAAGGATAGTGTCACTCGCGTTTGCTTTGGAAAATTTATTTCAAGTTATTTATATATTTTTGTCATAGGGAGAATCCACGGCTAGCTATGCATTAAATGATTTTAATGCACAACGTATAGCTAGCCGTGAATTATCCTGCTTATACCATGGTCATTTGCCAACATTGACAACTTAAAGCTGTTATTGATGTTTGCAGCGCAATATTTGATCTGAAGGGTAAAATTGATCATTTTCGTCAGTTACGGTCCTAAGCTCGAGTGTCAGAACACTGACTGTTTCTATTGCAACTGCAGTGACATGATGACTATACCAATCAGCGATTGGCTCTTTTATTTAGAAGGCGGGACTTATATTACTTATGAATATTGCGGTTTGCACTTTCTACCATTCATAAGTAATATGAGTGCACGTCTATGGTAAAGTTTGTTGTAATATGAGTGCACGTCTATGGTAAAGTTTGTTGTTGTGTCTGACTTGTCAAAATCAATTTATTACACTGCTTCACATGGCTTATTGCTTTAATATAAGTGTGTGTTTTCTTGCAGTGTTTGGCTGTATGGGAGTCGTTCTTGCATTCTCAAAGGACAGAGGCTGAAGGAAATGGAGAGGTTGACTGTTCCTAATCTCCCATGGTGCTTTTAGGTATACGGGACCACACATGATGCTTTTATTTCTGCAGACACCAATAAGATTCATATTTAGAGACTGAAACACCAAAGAGAAAGACAGTCACCCTAAAAGAACATCTAACAGCTTCAGCAACTGACCCAGAGAGAACCATAATGGAAGTATATTTTCCTCTGTCATCAGTACAAAGCACGTTTGGTTTCTTTTGACAACAGGGAAAAATCATATTGCCAAATCTTTTATACTGAGACCTATTTTTCTTTTTTGTTTATACGAGTACAACACATGAGATGAGAAAAATAATGCAATTCCTGGAAAATGAAGACACTCACATTGTCTTTATTGCACCATCTGACCTTTCTATCCATATGATGTTTGAGATTCATATGTCTTGCCCTTTTGCAGATCAATGCAAATGCAGTTTACCTCTGATCAGAGATGCCTTGCTGCAAAAACCATTCGATTAGTGTATGAATAAATATAAACGCACTCTGAATGGATGCATTTCTTGCATTGGACTGAATTCATCATTGTGCTATTCAGGTTACTGAAGCTACATCTTTATGCAAACATCATAAATTGAAGATGATGCTGACATTCCAGAATTGTTTACATGATATTAAAATCATAAATCAAAAGAATTGAACTGTTGCCTTTGAATATGAAATGAGTGTATTGTTTTAGATACTATTATTTGAATGCGGTGCACTAATATCATTAAGAGTAATAGACTGGTTTAAAACTGCTTTTACAGATCATTAGTGAAATGAATGTCTTGGAATTATATATGTATTCTTTGAACAAGTAAATTGTTGTTGAAAAGATGATTGAAAGATGCTTTGTGGTGTGTGTTTTTGTTCTCTCTCAAGAGAAAGTGAGCAAACGGAGCGTCATGTTGGATCCTAAACTAGGTTACAATCACAGCTTGAAACATTAAAAAGCTCTTTATATAATAAACCCAAGATCGATCGATCTATGTCAGTACTGTTTCCTTCACCGCTTTTACAGTCCTGCGGCAAAATAAGATAAATGTCACCCATGTTTGCAGCCCGAATTCAGTGTGATAGGATAAAAAGGCAGTGTACCGGGAAATAATGGTAAGAAAACATGTTTTTCAAAAACAAGACTCATACGTATAGGTTATTTTTAGTGAATCAAAATCATACAGCGCAACCAATTTAGCCAGATTGACAAACAAATGACTCGTATGAACTGGTTCTTTTTAGTGAAAGAAATACATTTAAGTGGAACTTGATTCATGAACAAATGACTCGTATGAACTGATTCTTTTTAGTGAAACAAATACATTAGTGGAATTTGATTCGCTGACAAATTACACTTACCAGTTCTTTTTAGTGAAACAAATACTTCTTAGTGGAATTTGATTCATGAACAAATTAATCTTATGAACCAGTTATTTTTAGTGAAACAAATACATTAGTGGAATTTGATTCACAAACAAATGACTCTTTAGAAATGGTTCTTTTTAGTGAAACAAATACCTTAGTGGAATTTGATTCATGAACAAATGACTCGTATGAACTGATTCTTTTTAGTGAAACAAATACATTAGTGGAATTTGATTCACAAACAAATTACTCTTTAGAAATGGTTCTTTTTAGTGAAACAAAAAGTATTATTCACAAAGAAATGACTCTTATGAACTGTGTGTGTGTGTGGGTGTGTGTGTGTGTGTGTGTGTGTGTGAATCAAACATACAACACAATTCAAGAACAAACTACTCTTATGGACTGGTTCTTTTTAAAATGTATAGAGCAACCAATGTAGTATAGGCTACAATTCACAAAGAAACGACTTTTTTTAACAGGTTCTTTTTAGTAAATCGAAGCACACAGCGCTACGCTACCGATGTAGTATGATTCATAAAAAAATGACTCATGTGAACAGATTTGCTTTAATGAATCAAAAGCATACAGCGCAACTAATTGAAGCTGCTGACCTGTTGAATTTGGCCAGCACAGCACTACTTTAGCTTGGCTTTACTTAAAAGTCATTAGCACCTGTGAAAGACCATTTTGAGAAATAAATAACTTATATTTTTGAAGTCCAGTCTTTGATGTAAAGCCAGTTCCTTCATCAGATCCCTCTCCTTGGACCACTTAAGTCTGTCCATGTGGACATAAATACTCCAGAAGCCTGGAATGGGAAGAGGAAAACCAAGCCCAGACTTTTCACAATCCAAGAGTAGTCAAACACTCGTACCAAAAGTGCTCTAAACTGATGTGCCCACTGAGTTAATCACTGTATTGTCTTTGGCAGAGTCAAATATGTTAGTGTCTCCTTATGCACTATTAATTTGCAATTTGGTTTTGAAAGTAAGTGCACTACGAATGTAAAAGCAAATAGAGTTATTGCTGCGGCGCTTGGCTTTTTCCTGCCATCAGCAGCAGCTGTTCTCTGACTCGAGCATCTGAGGCTGGCTGGCAGAAAGCAGGCCTGCTCTGGGCTTTCCTCATGGAGACTTGGAGAAGGGAAGTACATGAATGCCTGAGTGACCAGATGGATCAGACAGCCTCAGGGAAGCCCACAGTCACCATGCTTTCAGGATCCTCCAGCACAAGACTCAAGACTTAATTCAGCATGACCAAAGAGAAACTGCCAGAGAAACATTTCAAATATTGCCACTTCAAAGCTAAAAGGTTCTCAGATGTTTCATACAAGCAATTTTAAACTCGTTTGCGTTATACAAGATTCAACTCATTTCTTAAGTCAGTTTAATGTCATTTAAGTTGAAATGACTCTAACATCCAATTTGATTGTACTTATTTTTATTTATAATTTTTTTACAGGGTAGTACATTGGTAGCACACAAATTAGAATATCGTGCAAAAGTTCATTTATTTCAGTATTCAACTTAAAAGGTGAAACTAATATATAGACTCATTACATGCAAAGTGAGATATTCCAAGCCTTTATTTGTTATAATTTTGATGATTGGCTTACAGCTTATGAAAACCCCAAATTCAAAAGTAGAATATTGTGAAAAGGTTTTCATTGCTGTAAAGCCCAATTTATACTTCTGCGTCGAACTCACGCCGTAGCTACGTCGTAGGCTGTGTGTAGCGCGCGTACCCTTCGGCGTACACTGACGTGCACCTCTCCAAAAATCATGTAACAACGCGTCAATTCTACGCGTACCGCAAGCGCTGTGATTGGTCTGCTAGAACCGCTCCCCGGCTTTTACATGCTCCCTCTGCATGTGTAATTGCGCGTCAACGCGGACAACGACGCAGAAGTATAAATTAAAACCAACGCGTAGTCTATAGCGTAGAGGCTCCGGCGTAGGTCCAACGCAGAAGTATAAATCAGCCGCCATAATCATCAAAATTATAACAATTAAAGGCTTGAAATATCTCACTTTGCATGTAATGAGTCTATGTAGCCTAATATATTAGTTTCACCTTTTAAGTTGAATTACTGAAATAAATGCACGACATTCGAATTTTTCGAGTTTCACCTGTAGTTGTAGTTTGGTGAGCCTGATTTGTGAACAAATGATTCTTTGGAACCGGTTCTTTTTAGTGACACAAAAACATACTGCATACACGTACTGTGAGTTATGTAATCAGATTACTTTTTTCAAGTAACTAGTAAAGTATCAACATATCTGAGTAACTTTTTTTACAAATAAGTTAGTAGTTACTTTGTTTTCCCATTTACTGACTGACTCCTCTTCTGTCTCCATGTTGACAGAAATCGTGAGTGAGTGCAGACCTGTTGTGTGGACATGATGGTAATTTTAATCTCGATTAAATGTGAGCAGGCATTTACTCATCTCACAAAAACAGATTCAGTGTCGATAATGAATAAAAAGTGAAATGTAATCTCAGAATATTATGCAAATCTACAATAATTAAATGTTAAATAATTACACAAATATACTTTGTATATTTAATCTCCCGTTATTAACCAATGTCTTTGCTGCTGACCTTCGATGATCCAATTCAACCATACTAATAACAAGCAAAAATTACTTTATATAAACATCTCGTTTGTGTTTCTCTGGAAGATCTGCCTCATACAGTATGTCAGCTTGACCAGTCACTGAAGTGTGTCCAAGTTCCTGGTTACTGTTGCGTCTCTTGTGTGTAATTATGGCATTGGGTGTGAACATGAGCATGTCAAAGCATTCAGAAGAGACCACGAGACAAATGTGTGCCAATATGCAGCTCAAGGAAAATAAACAGAAGAAAAAAAGGTACAGTTATTAGTTTGATTTGACTATCATTTTTCCAGCATTTTAAACTTCTTAATTACATAATTTGCTCTGCATGTTGACACTTGTTGATCTATCTATCTATCCTATCAAATTTCTCAAAATGTTGACTATATCACAGAATTCTTTGACTATTTCTTTTGAACTTTTTTTCCAGAATTACCAGTTTTATTTTTTACTCTGAAGTGGAAACAGGCTTCATTAGATGTATACAACTAAATCTTAAAGTTTCGTTTTCCGTTCTCTCTGTTATGGAACCCCATTTCAACTTAATAATAATTGCGACTTTATATCTTTCAGTTTTGACTTAATCTCACAATGTGAATGTATTTCTTAATTTAAACTTTGTCTAATGCAGACCTCTGAGTCTTTTACTCTGGGTGGGAAGCAGCTGTGTTGGCTCTCTCAGTACCGCTGTAAAATACAATCTGCTAGAGGAATGAAGTTTCCACACCATCAAAACAAGCCATTTCAGTTTTATATGCTGCACTGAGCAGGGCTGTTACGGAGAAAATGACTCTACTTTATCTCGCTTGTGCATTACCCTTTCCCAAAAAGTGTGCTTTAGAGGTGTTAGAGGTGGTTTGTGTTCTGCATCGGGCTGATGTGAGGTGTCGGTAATGGAAAACAATAGCCGGGAATAGTTATGGACTTCCATGACTCATTGATCCTGGGCTATCGAGTCTTTCTCTATAAAATTAGAGATTTGATGAGCTACAGGTACATTCACGGAGAATCTGTTAGCATTGTACGCTCGATTCTTTTGACTACTTTCTAGCAGGAACTGACTTTGTTTGCTATAGTAAAGAGCTTCTATTGTTTTGCCTGTTTCCATCACATCAGAAGCAATTCAACACCAGCTATTATGATGAATACAACACACTATCTGTTTCATTTTTGACTCCACTATGGTTCAGTTAGCAAATCTCTAAAATCACAATTGCTAAAAGGTAGCGTTTAGTAGCTTTTGTCAAGTAATGAGATATAAACGAATGTGAATAGTATTTCTGTGATGGGTCGGTGTTAGATGAATTTGATATTATCATACAACAACAATTATAAATGTGTATATACACTCACCTAAAGGATTATTAGGAACACCATACTAATACTGTGTGTAAAGACTCAAGGCGGATCTAATCCGTGGGGAATTTGCATATCATAATTAATAATTGGTAATTAATAATTATTCATACATGTTTGGAGTAGATCAGTCTTACATGTTAATAAATCTCCCGATAAGGGAGGATCTGTCATTTTACCTGCATGCATGCATGTGAATCCCTGAAATTAACCACAAGTTGATTAATTAATTACACGGACCACGTTTCACAAAACAGGTAAAATGAATTAGCTCAATTGTCAGGATAATATTTGTGGGGCTCCACAATATCATCTTACTTTATAGGATTTCAGGAAACGCAATTCTCTGGCCAGAAGAATTGGGTTTCCCGCCCTATGAACACATACTCTTTAAGGTATATTTAATTTTAGTAAGCTTGTAGCATAAGATCTTTGGCACTTAAGGGACTTGAAACTGAGCAAAGAGACAGTACATCAATCAAATGAATATATAATTAATTTAATAGAGGCATG